TGCTTCTGTCTCCCAAGTGCTAAGAACAAAGATATGCACTACTGTGCCCTACTATAACCTCATTTTTAAGTAGCAACAAATAAGTCCTGAGTTCAAGAAATAGAAAACAGAGGAAAACAAACAACAGCTCAGGCCACAGCCAAGCCCAAGGCCCAGTGGCAGCATTTCTTCCCAGCTTAGCTTTCATTTGTGACTGTCAATAGTAAAGTACCTATTTATCTATTAGCATCTTTGAGTAAACTCATAGCAGTACATACCTATTATTATTATTATTATTATTATTATTATTATTATTATTATTTTGCTAGGAAATATCTCACCATCTTCTGGAAACATCTCCCAACATGTTCAGTTCATACGGCTCCCATGGGGAAAGCCACATTCTACCAAGAATGTGAGGGTGCATTTCTGTGAGATTGCTTTGTAGGCCTGAAATAGTTAAAAATGAGGCATGCTAGTTTTATAAATTTTGACAGGTGCTGTCAAACCCTCGCAGAAAAATTGTCAAACCTTGCACTTGGAAAACAGCCCATTTTCCAAGTAGGGCTGCAGACAAAACGTTGTGAAACTCTACTTCAGAGTACTGAACATGCAGCATGCCAGCCGTGTGCTGTGGGAGCCCTTGTTGACACCCAGGGAAGGAAGCACAGCTCTGGGAACTGTGACTTAAAGAGCTCAGCCTGCCGCAATTGAAGGAGCCTAGCCGGAGTGTCCAGCCACAGCCTGAATTCCCTCAGCTGGTGGTTCTCAGGGCTGCATCTGTCAAAAGCCTCGGGGGAGGGGGGTGAGGGTGGGGTGGGTGGGTGAGACGCTGTTTGGGTCCACCGACACTATCTGAGTCAGGAAGCATAGAGTGGGCTTGAGAATTGTCAGTTTGTCAGTCTCCAGAGATGGACCACACGCTGACGACCATGGATCCTAGTACTCCACCAAGGGCCATGGCCACGCTAAACTTCAGCTTTGACTGGGTGGGCATGGAAACACTGTGTTACAAACCCTGTGTCCATATGAACAGACCCTTCAAGGTCTTGCAAATGTTTCAGGTAGGATCTGTGGTGATCTTGTTTCCCATTTTTGGCATGTTATGTGCTGGATGTACTTGTTACTGTGGTGTGTGTATATGTGCGCATGTATGTCTGTGCATATGGAGGCCAGAGGGGGACCTGGAATATCTTCCATTGGTTGCTCTCCACCTTTATTCTTTGAGACAGGGTCTTTCTCTGACTCTAAAGCTCATTGATTAGGATAGGCTGGTCAGCCAATGAGATTCAAGGACCTGTCCGACTGGCTGCCTCCTCAGCACTGGGGCTATAGGCATGGCCTACCTCCCCTGCTTTTTCTGTAGAACTCAGGTCCTTATGGTTGTGTTGTAGGGACTTGGCTGACTGAGCCATCTCCCTAGTCTTGGGATCTTTTCTTGTTTCATTTTTGTTATTGTTGTTGTTATCATTTCCTTATGACGATTCTTACATTTAATGGAGACAGTGCTCATAGGAACCTTTGGGGGAGTTACTGTGGAGACTGCATAGTGCTGTACCATGGCCACTTTACATTTTAACTACAGATGGGGAGGCTGAGACGATGCAAAGCACCTTGGAGTTAGGCAGCCTTGGGTCAAGATAGAGGCTCAGTGACCAAGTGGCGATAGACATACTGTCTTGTTAGGGTTTCTACTGCCGAAGCGAAGCACCACGACCAAAAAGCAAGTTGGGGAGGAAAGGATTTACTCAGCTCACACTTCCACATTGCTGTTCAGCATCAAAGGAAGTCAGGACAGGAACACAAGCAGGGCAGGAACCAGAAGGCAGGAGCTGATCAGAGGCCATGGAGGGGACTGCTTACTGGCTTGGTCCTCGTGGCTTGCTCAGCCTGCTTTCTTTAGAACCCAAGACCCAGGGATAGCACCACCCACCTCGGGCTGGGGCCTCCCCTATTGATGCTGATTGGGAAAATGCCTTACAGCTGGGTCTCATGGCGACATTTCCTCAGCTGAGGCTTCTCGCTCTCTGACGACTCTAGCTTGCATCAAGTTGACAGAAACCCAGCCAGAGTACCCGCTGACCCACTGCTCGGTTTCACATCTCTGGAAAGCAGTGTACGTGGTCCAGAGTTAGACAGAGCACGCAGATCACCTCCATCCAACTCTATCCCGATCCAGAAGAGGATGCATGTGGACCAATGTGATGATCCTGCAGCCCCTCCCCAGAGCCCCAGGGATAATACACCTTCTCAGCTGTTCCCCGGAGGGTCCCTTCAACCATTTTAGTGGAGGTGACCACCGCATAGGCCGCCTGGCAGTTTCCTGATCTGTGTAAGGGAGAGCTTCCATCAACAAAGGTGCGTTGGGGTCTGAGGGGTTGGTCTAAAAGACCAGGCTTGGGTGAGCATAAGGCCTCCACAGCCTCTGGGCAGGAGTGAGAGGAGGTATCAGAGGAGGGAGGGACAGGGAGGAGGGTTGCAGGGCTTAGGGTGGGGCTGGAGGCTGAGGTGATTTGGGGATTTTCTAGAAACAGTAAATGAAAGACCTGGACCCATAAGGGCCCAAGGAGGAAAAGAAGGAAAGATTCAGGAGGTCTGAGAGAAGATGAGTGGAGTACACAGGGACTGGAGGAAACAGGGTGATCATGACGGCTCCTGGGTGACTTCGGCCACCACTGCTAGGGCTCTCAAACTCGGCTGCCGTCCTACCCGGTGGGATCTAGCTGTTTGGACAGGAAAGCAAACGCCCAGTCCCAGGGTTGGGCTAGGACCCCTGTGACCACTCCTGCCTTTTTGGCTGTAATGAGGTGGTGGGGTGGTGGGTCCAGGAGAGCCAGGGCAGGGGCTGTTAGGAGGGCATCCCTCAGTAAAGGTAGCTGGGAGAGTGAGGGGGTCTCTTTGGACGCCTGGTACAGAGGCTTGGCTGTGATGGAAAGTTAGGGATAAAGTGACAGAAGAATCTCTTCAGGCCCCAAAATGTGAGAATGTGGTCTACCGTGTGGTCAGGGGCCGTAAGTCCCGCAGGGCTTGGACTTGGTCAGGGGTGAGGGGCTTAGACCACTGGCTGAGTTGAATGCCCAAATACACAACAGTAGGACAGAGTAGCTAAGTTGACTTTGGCTAATCCCTGGCGGGATGGGACCTTGTGGACTTCCCTTGTTCTCTCTGCAGGACCGCCACTGGCTTCAGCGCAGCTGCTAAACTTGAGTTCGGAGTGTAGCCTACTGTTGCAGCCGACCCATGGCGCAGTCACACCTCCTCTCAGGCATTAAAATGAACTTCAAAGCCATTTTCACCAATTCCTGCATGGGGACCATCTTCAGCCTTTTTAGTTTCTTTCTAATGACAGGGAAATGAAATGGGTAGCCAGGACCACTGCTCTGCTGGGGAGGCTGGGTCAAGGCGAGTATACTGAATCATGGTCTCTGCAGTCATTTGAGGACAATGTTCCCGACTTTCATCAGCTGGCTATGCAATCTCGTGGAGCTTGTCAACGTTAACAACTTTGTTTGAGACCATCTCCACACCCTAAAGAGGGCAGTGGGCCTTGAGGTCCCTCCCCTGGCAGCCATTTGACCTGGTTGGTAGTCCCATTTGGGTTCCATAGCTGGCCCTGCCATGTCACCCACAGGGATCATATTGCTCACTAGGTGGGTCTGGTCTAGGCACCACCTGAACCCATCCAAGCTCCTTGGGAGTGAGAGTGGGGATCTGGATGACATAAAGGTCATGCCAGGTCAGGTCATAGGCTCAGGAAAGACAACACACTCCTTGATACAGGCAGAAGGATTAGCAGAAGCCTAACCACTTTTCCATCTGGGAGAGGTCCTGATGGGGGAAAGGAGTGTGGATTTGAATGGTTCCCTTGACTCTGGTCACTTCTCAGAGGGGGCAGAGGAGGGCAGGGGCTGCTGAAACCACGGGGAGGATTCAGGGGGAGTAGGCCAGTGTGTGGACCGGGACCAGAGTGCAGGCTGTAGCATTGTAGAGGGGGGGAGGGGGAAGCAGGGCCTGTGGTAATAAAGAAGGAAGGGCGGGGGAGGAGGGAGAGGAAGCGAGGGAGGTGGGCATGGGGGGAGGAAGTTGTCCTGGATGGGGAGGGAGGGGCAGGGTGGCCACTAGGTGGAGCATGTAGCCATGTAGGAGGACAAGGGGCAGGCAGGCAGGACTGGGGGGAGGGGCAGGTGTGCCAGTGACTCAGGTGGCTTCATCAGGGCGGAAAAGGGCTCAGAGTTCAAGTCACCAGATGAGAGGGCATCCGGGACAAGATGTGCCCTGTGCAGCACGGGCCGCAGAGGCGCAGAGGGAGGGTTGTTGGTACAGGATCCCAAACCACCCCCCCACCCCGGGACATGAGGGAGCTGACAGATGTTAAAGTCAAGAGTGCCCTCTGGTGGCCATTTAAACTGTTTATCTAGCGTGTACTGCGGCCAGACCACAGGACTGGGCCCATGGTGAGACAGCCTCAGTTTGGATAAAATTTTCAGCAAACATCCCAGGGGTGACTTTTGGGTTTAGACCTGGCACTGTCCATTTCCTAGCCTGTGCCAGAGACTGAAGACTAGCATCTATCATCCCACTGGACGTCCTGGGGTTGAGCAGTGAGGGTGGGCATCCTTTGGTAGTCTCCAAACCCAAAAGCTCCTTGGAACTCACTGGTCTACAGGACAGGCTCCAAAGCTGCAGAGAAACCCCATCTTGACAAACCAAACCATGAGTTTTTAAATAACTTATAGTACTGTTATAGTTCATCTAGCTTTATTGCTAGCTATCACTGACAGACTTGTGCCTAACCCATCAATGAAATCTCGCCACTGTTTCAGGTCTCCTTTGGGAGTCTCTGAGCATGCTGGCTGTGAATACAGAGGCAGTGCCCCTGTGGGGGTTACGAGGGTATTAGACTGGCAACCGCATGCTGCACCACAGATGTGGCACCAGGGGTAACTGATGAAGCTCAGATGAAATGCGGCACAGCTCATAACACTCAAACCGCAAGCTTCACCCATGAATAAGAGAGACAGTTTACTTTCATTCTGCATTTATTTGACATTTTGTCCAGTTAAACTGAAATGACACATTGGCTCTCACATTGATTGGCAAGACACCTCACTAATACTGATAGCTGCTGGTCACACACACACCTGTTCCTCTGTTAGAGAAACAGAGCTCACAACCTCATTGCAGTTCATGTGGCTTTGTCTTCAGAAAGAAGGTGCTTTTAAAAGATCAGCAAAGATTGCCAAGTTTTGTTCATTTGTTCTTTTTTTTTTTTTAATAAATCATGATTAAACCACGCAGTGAATATTCCTATACAAAAGCATTAAGAGACCCAAACTTAAAAAAAATTAAGAGCCCAGCTCCTTATCTCCTATGTAATTCTCACTGTGCCCGGGCTGACACTTTGGTGAGTCTGTCAGCCTCCAAATTAGCTTCTGAGTTTTTCGCACTCTTAGAGCTTAACATGCATTGGCTCAAGGGCTCAGCCAAGAGCTGGGTGGGGGAGGACCTTGAGGCCTTTGGCTTCCCATGGCAATGTCCTTTAGGCTCTGTGGAGCCCTGCCTTGTACTCCAGGCTTACCACCATTTACACAGAAGCACTGATGCCAACAAGGCTTGTCCAAGGCCAGAATGTCACAGGAAGCCACTGCATTTCAAGCGGATTGGCATTCAACTGTACAGAAGATTCCAGCAGCATGGGGGAGGGCTGAGAGCTTCAGATCCATACAGCCTTTTAGAGACAACAGAAACAAGGCACACCGGTTTCTCTTTATGAGGAAATTCAATCTGGACACGCTATCAGGAAAAAGGGTCTAGAGAAACTAGATAGTTTCTGATTTTTCCCCCCACGTACAAATCTCTGAATTACAATGATTTACACTCAGTGTAACAAGTGGCTTGTCTATGACATGGGACATCTACAGACTTCCAACATGACCTCGGCTACACTGAACATATAACATGTAAAATCACTGTAGAGATGCAGACATGCCATGTAATTCCATGGCCTTTAAACAGGGGAGACTGCAACACAAGAGTCACTGTTGCTGCTAACTTGTTCATGTATTGTCTTTGTATGTTTCTGAAAGCCAAGGTGGGGGGGGGGAAGCAGATAGGGACTGGGAATTGTTTTCACAGTTCTAAAACAAAAACAAAACAAAACAAAAAATAAAACAACAAAAAACACCCAACAAACCAGACTCACCCAGTCACACTAGACTGTACTGAATATACTCCTAAATCTGGCATTTGTGCATTTCAGCCAATTGTTTGGCGAAAATTCATGATTATAAAGTATCTTTGAGGTCAGACTAGTGATTTTATAAGAACACTAGACAAATTGAAAAGTTACCAAGAGAATGCACTACCATGGACACATGCTAACTACAGAGGCGGCTTCACACCTGCCCTGTAGCTGACTTTGGGAAGGTGTATGGAGCGTGTATCTTCTGAACATCAATTTTGTTGCCCTCTACTTTGGCCTGGTCCATTGCCAAGCTGGAAACAAAGTCTCCTTAGTATCTACACTTGCATATTTAGTCTTAGATCTTTTGTGTCTTCCCAGTTTATGGTCCAGACCTCTGTGGGACAGACGTAGAAATGCAATTGGCATTTGAACAGGTAACCTTCTAACGATTGATAACCAATGTTTACTGAGCTGGTAACTGGAGCACCTATGCTATGCCTCCCAGTGCTTTTGAAAGCTCCAGGTAAGGGCTTTGAGAAAATGGTGTCATTAAAGTCTACCAGGAGGGGATGCTTGTAAATTACAACATGATTCAAATGTCAGGCCCCTGACTGGCACTGGGTGCTGTGCCAGGGGGCAGCTTGACTCTAATGCAGATCTCTAGAGGCTTTTGTAACTGGCAGTGCCCCGTCACACTGGATTTCCTCACTGCTGTGGCTTCTGGAGGGTCACAGATGGCAGGCGGAGCCTCCAGGGCTTGATCTTGGCTTCACAGGCCCTTGTTAAAGTACACGTGCCGTAATTCAGGATGACTCCTTTGGATGCTGGCTTGCAACTCATCCTCCAAGCTTGTCACAGGCATGGAACTGGGACAAGGCAGAGGGAACAAGGTTATCACATGAGTAAAGGGGACCTGAACTAGGAAGAGCAGGGAGAGAACACCGGCTCAGAAACTCGGGGCTGGTACATGAACACAGCGGAAAGGCTGCACAAGGCTACAATACGAGCATCCTGTGCCCTCTAGAAAAACAACTGTCATACAAAGAACTAACCAGGAGAAGCCGATTGCTAAGCCTATTTACCTCTTATTTCAAGCTGAAAATGGCTCATTGCTGTAAGAGCACATGGCAATGACATGCACAGACCTGTGCGACTGAGAGCTACCCAAGCTAAGGAAAAAGCTGTGGTCAGGGAACCCATTTTAGTAGACAAACACTACAGGTGTGCTCGTCTGTGGCTCCAGTAAAATGAGTCATGTTAAAGGTTATAGAAGCAAAATGTGCACCAGGCAAACTGACTCTCACAAAGGCTAAAACATTCTCAAATGAAACAGTAGGGGGCAGAAGAGAGCTGGTAGAGCGAGTGTTGAGGTCCCACACATCAGAGCTTGTCTGCCCGGTCTCTTCCCTATAGAGGCTTCCTTGGCCCATTAGAGACCTGACTTCTTGCTACTGAAATCAAATATCTGCACTTGTGTCTCCAGTTCATTTTTAGGATCAAAGTTCACAATGACTCTGGAAAAAAGATACACCACTTACCTCTTCTGAGGGAACAGAGCACAGCACAGGGGGGTGGCGAAGACCAAACTTAAAAAACAAACAGAACAGCAGGTCAGGAGGCTGAAGCGGTCACGTCTTGGTTTCCTCTTTTCTCTATGTATTCTAATGACAACCTCTAATTGCCTTACAAATATGTACTGTTCAATTGCCAGAATGATAAAAGCCCCAGGAACAAAAGGGTAACTGTAGTTCACATGAGAACTCCCAAAAAGCCCTAAATGCAGAGGCTCCTGTGTAGACAGGCAGTTTCCATCTTTTTAATTATTGGGAACACAAATTCAGGCATTCTGGGTTGGTGTCATTTTCAAAACTTTTCTCTTGTGCCACCCAATCTTCCACAGGAATCAAAAATGACTTATAAGTGTGATTTCTGTGTTGACTACTGTGACAACACATGATAACACCTGTTGAATAAATACATGCACACCAGTAAAACTAGCAGCTGTTTTTTAAAGGTTCATTTCCACTTACCAAAAGCCAACCAAGGTGACTTGAATCGGTGCACTCATCCACGGGAACCTCTGCATTGAGGAATACACAAGTGTGAATACTTCTCAAGTGGCTCTCCAGGACCATGTCCTCCTGACTAACATCACCCCCATGGTAGAAGCCCCAATGCAGTAGGGTTAGTGAGATGGTGGGCCATACGGCCACACCAGTTAGTCTTGACTTCATGGCCCTGAGCTATGAATGACCAAGCAGCAGCCACCGCTCCCCCAAGTGTTATCTGCCTGTGTACATGAGATAGGGGACTAGCCAGCTAGCATTTAATTATGGTTTATCTGCTGTTAGGGAGGAAGAAGAGCTCGACACACAAGCTGGAAGACACATGACCTTGCACTAAATTTCCCTCATCAACATTGGATATCTGTGCGGGAAAAGCAGGCAGAGCCCAGGCTTTGTTAGGAGGCAAAATGAGCAGTCCCTCTAAGGGTAAGGATGAAGACAAGCCAGGAATCCGGGAGTGGGAGGAGCCTAGTGGAGTGGGAGGAGCCTAGCGGAGTGGGAGGAGCCTAACAGACACCAGCCTCCACCTGCTTGCACATGCTTTCGTGGATTCAGTTGCTGTCAGTAGATTAAAACTATTTCCAGAATAAGATATCTTCGTTAGTCATGAACCAGTAGTTTGGTCTTTGAGAAAACAAACGTTGTCGGATTGTAGTTTTTAACAAAGGAAAATACACAACATAAGGCACAGGGTTATCTCAGTAAGCCCACAGTTGTGAGTTGGTTGGGATGTAATCAGCCACCAGAGTTCTGAGTCACACAAGCTGTGGCAAGATAGCATGCAGAGAAGGCATACCCTGGTGCCCAAGGTGACTTCTTTGCCGAAAGGGGTCATCGGGGGGGTCAACATAGAGGGAGGGAAAGGGGGAGCGAAGAGGAAAGGAAAACATCATCAAAATGAAACCAACCCACAGAGGCTATGCTGGGGCAGGGGCTTAACCTAAAAGACTGAAAGAGGAAGCTATTGTCATGTGCCACTTGACGACAGGATATATTCTGGAAATGCATCCTTGGGCCAGGCTGTCTGAGTACCCACTAGTGTCCATTCTAAATTCAGCTCACTGGGCTACATGATTTCAATACATATACTCCCTCGCCTCTACACACATAACTGTTTAGCGAGGGATTTTCGCAGGGAGACTGCCGGTGGCCACGTCAGAGGAGCCACAGTCAGCAGTGTAGCTTATGGAATACAGCCCAGCGGACAGCAAAGCCACGCTGGGTACATCCCGGGGAGGCAAAGCCCTGGGAGGATCGGCTCCGGGATGCCCGTTGCTTCTGCTGTGCTTTCTGCTGCTTGCTGCTGCCCTGTTCCTGCTGCATTTGGCACGGTGTGAATACTATATGAAAGGGTCCCACTATATCCAGGATAGTGTGATTGTTTCTTGGGGAAAATCCTACTCCTCACTGGGCAATTTACTTGCAGATTGTAATGAAGACATTTTAATAAGAGCAATGATGATTAGTTACATCTATGATTTAATTGGATTTCCTGAGTTAGCCTAATAGATACAGGTGGTTAGGACAGCTAGTAAAGATGGTTAAAGTCCCGGTTTAGGTTATTCTGCCAATTGTTCCAATAAGGGACACAGAAAAGGCAAAAATAGGCTAAAGGTCACCTTCCCTCTTGTTAGATGTGAGATTTTTGGAATACAGAAAATAAGAATGAGGGAGTTTTGTGCCTTATAGACCCATGAATTCTGCCTGTGGAAAGACAGGCTGACGATTAAAGAAAGCAATTATGTTCCTACATCCAAAGTTAGGTCTGAGTTCCTTGGTCATGTAACTTACAGAACTAATCACAAGTCCCAGTATGCACCTTGAAAAAAAAACTGTGCTAGGAGGTTAAATGACGCTATTGTGTGTAAAGAAAATAGATGGCTAGCCGACCACTTGTTTAATCCGCAAACTGATTGAACTATAGGTGGCTTGTTTAAAACTTTGTTAATCAATTGTAAAAGAATCATTGCTTTGGGATGAAGATATTATGGTGGGAAAATTAATACAAAGAAAAAAATGTTTAACTACTTGTGGACTTCTAAGAAAAACACACAACTTGTGACTACAATGTGATTTCTTCCTGTGTAAAGATTTTGTTTTTGGAAAGTATGTAACTTGTGGTTGTGAGGTAATCTTTTCTGGAGTAGAAATTTTTGTCTTGGGAGGTATAGAAGGGACAAGAGAAAGTAAGAGAAAAAGAAGGAAAGATGTAAAAGAAAACGTGAGGGGAGATGCAGGAGGAGAGCATCAGGGGAGATGCAGGAGGAGAGCATCAGGGGAGATGCAGGAGGAGAGCATCAGGGGAGATGCAGGAGGAGAGCATCAGGGGAGATGCAGGAGGAGAGCATCAGGGGAGATGCAGGAGGAGAGCATCAGGGGAGATGCAGGAGGAGAGCATCAGGGGAGATGCAGGAGGAGAGCATCAGGGGAGATGCAGGAGGAGAGCATCAGGGGAGATGCAGGAGGAGAGCATCAGGGGAGATGCAGGAGGAGAGCATCAGGGGAGATGCAGGAGGAGAGCATCAGGGGAGATGCAGGAGGAGAGCATCAGGGGAGATGCAGGAGAGAACATCAAGGGAGATGCAGGAGAGCATCAGGGGAGATGCAGGAGGAGAGCATTGGGGAGATGCAGAAGGAGAGCATCAGGGGAGATGCAGGAGAGAACATCAAGGGAGATGCAGGAGGAGAGCATCAGGGGAGATGCAGGAGGGCATCAGGGGAGATGCAGGAGGAGAGCATCAGGGGAGATGCAGGAGGAGGGCATCAGGGGAGATGCAGGAGAGAACATCAAGGGAGATGCAGGAGGAGAGCATCAGGGGAGATGCAGGAGAGAACATCAAGGGAGATGCAGGAGAGAACATCAGGGGAGATGCAGGAGGAGAACATCAGGGGAGATGCAGGAGGAGAGCTTCAGGGGAGATGCAGGAGGAGAGCATCAGGGGAGATGCAGGAGGAGAGCATCAGGGGAGATGCAGGAGGAGGGCATCAGGGGAGATGCAGGAGGAGGGCATCAGGGGAGATGCAGGAGGAGGGCATCAGGGGAGATGCAGGAGGAGGGCATCAGGGGAGATGCAGGAGGAGAGCATCAGGGGAGATGCAGGAGGAGAGCATCAGGAGAGATGCAGGAGGAGAGCATCAGGGGAGATGCAGGAGGAGAACATCAGGGGAGATGCAGGAGGAGAACTGGCAAGAGATAGGACAACAACCGTGTAGAAGGACAGAACAGAGAAAGAACAGAGCAGGAATGGCAGAAAGAAAAACAAAATGAACTATGTGTGGACCTTCAAAAAGTTTCTTGTGTGTGCGCTGTTGCTCCGACTCCATGCCCTCTCTTCATTTCCTGACCTGCTTGAGGGCTGGTCTCTTGGCAGGAGATGATAAATTCTCACCCAAGATCCTCCTCGACATGAGACACCGAGGATGGCACACAGCCTTAGGGATGGGACAGCGGGCTAACCGTTGAATGATCTGGTGTGGGTAGATGAACTTGAGCCAGTAATACCAGCCCTCTCATCTCTATTGGCCTTGTTTCCTAAGTGTCCAGAGGCAGCCGTATCCAGAGTGCACTTGTGTGTCACCTTGGGATGGACACACACAAGCTAAAGGCTAGCTTTGGTTGAGGGTTCTTCATAATGTCAAGGACTCTGGAGAAATCTGACTTGCTTCAAAACCCAACCCATCACCAGCCCCATTCTTGACTGTCTTCACTACCTCATCCTGCCTATTCTTCAGAGAGAATTTGGTCTCTCAGGGTAGGGACAGGTAAAAACTTCAGATGAATTGAAAACAACATTCCAAGTTTAGAAGATATATATATCTCCAGACCAATGTGGCTTGAGATACATAGTGACATGGATGCGTAACTCAAGGTTAATGAGTCTCAATTCTTTTCTCCTAATGACTCCTTTTCCATTAAATTTATTGACGTACAATCAGCTATACATCTTAATGCAGACAAGGCAATTTGTGACCTGTGTGCACAGTTATGATACTGTTACCACAATAAAGGCAATGAGCCCATTTGGGATTCTGCCAAAGTTGCAGCTCTGATTTCATTCACTATGTATTAACTAATGTTTCCTAAGTTTTGAGTTTGCTTTTTTTTTTTTTTTTTTTTTTTTTTTTTGTAGAGTCTCATGTAGCCCAGGCTGGCCAAAACAAACTTACTGCAGAGCCAAGAATGACCTTGAACTCCTGACCCCCCCATATCCCCACCTCCCAATTGCTGGCATTATAGGCATCACCAGGTCTGAATCTTGGGTTATATATACAGTATCTACTTTTTTGTGTTGTTACTTCGGGAATTCATGCTGCTGCACGCATCAGGAATTAACCGCTTTTCACTGGACAAGACTACTTATTCCATTAAATGGGTTAATACCCTTTCCAGTTGGCTTTGGGGCCATTTCCAGTTTGATGCTAATGTAAACAAAGCTGTGACTATCTGTAATGGATGTTCGCTTCCATTTCTTTTAGGAAAATACTTAGAGATGGCTGGCTTACACCGTAGCATATGTCTGTATAAATGGTTGAGGAATTTTACCAGTAGGTTGTGAGAGTTCCGGCTCCTACACAGACCGGACAACACTTGTTACGGTCGAATTTTAACTGTAGCCAGCCCAACAGGTGACTAGCAGTGGTTGATTTTAGTCCTCCAGTGACTGTAAGCTTCCACGCATTTTCTGTGTCCCATTTGCACACACTGAATGCGTCTGCTGAACCCTTTTGCCCACTTTTGCACTGCCGTTTTCTTGTGGGGGTTTTTAAACAAATTCTCGATTCATTTTCTTACCAAAACGGCTTTGCTTTGCCACTTGCCTCACCTAGTTGGTTTCCTGTCTTCCATTCCCTGTCTAGTTTTTGAAAGCCAGAATTTAAAAATGTTTTGAAGTAGTCTAAGTTTTCATTTTTTTTCTTTGGTCTTGTATCCAAGACATCTTTGCACCAAACTCTGTGTTCAATGATACTTCTTTTTTATATTTGTGTTTTTAGATTTAGCTTTCATGAACCACAG